GGTATTGAGTTGTGTAAGCTCTTCATAAATTTTGGATGTTAACCACTTATCAGATGTGTCATTGGCAGCTGCTCTTTCAGTCAGTGTGTTGTTTTTCCATTTTGTTTATTGTTTCCTTTGCTGTGCAAAAAACATTTTAGTTTTATGTAGTTTATTTTTTTCTTTTATTTCCTCTGGCCTAGGAGATACATATATCAGAAAAAAATATTACTATATGTTCAAGGTTTTACTGCTTATGTTTTCTTCTGGAATTTTTATGGTTTCAACTCTAACATTTAAATCTTTAATCCATTTTGATTTTTTTCTTGTGTATGGTGTAAGAAGGTGGTCTAGTTTCATTTTTTTGCAAGTATCTATCCAATTTTCCCAATACCGTCTACTGAAACTGTCTTTACCCCTTTGCATGTTTTTGCCTCCTTTGTCAACTGTTAATTGACCATAAAGGTGTGGGTTTACTCCTGAGTTCTCTTCTTTTCTATTCCATTGATCTATATGTCTGTTTTTATGCCAATACCATGCTGTTTTGATTACTGTGGCCTTGTAATATAGTTTGATATCAGGCAGCATGATTCCTCCAACTTTGTTCTACTTTCTCAAGTTCGCTGTTGCTATCCAGGGTCTTCTGAGGTTCCATATAAATTTTTTTTTTAAGATTTTATTTATTTATTTTTAGAGAGGGAAGGGAGGGAGAGAGAGACAGAGACAGAGACAGAGAGAGAAACATCAATGTGTGGTTGCTGGGGGTTATGGCCTGCAACCCAGGAATGTACCCTGTCTGGGAATCGAACCTGGGACATTTGGTTCCCAGCCCGCGCTCAATCCAGTGAGCTATGCCAGCCAGGGCTATAAATTTTTGTAATATTTGTTCTAGTTCTGTGAAAAACACCATTGGTATCTTAATACGGATTGCTTTGGGTAGAATGGTTAATAATGATGATGTTAATTCTTCCTATCCATGAATATTGTCGATTTCTTTCTTCAATATCTTAAATTTGTTTGAATATAGGTCTTTTACCTCCTTGGTTAAATTTATTCCTAGGTATTTTATTCTTTTTGAAGCAATTGTGAATGGGATTATTTTCTTAGTTTCTGGTAGTTCATTTTTGGATGTAAACATGAAACTGATTTCTGGATATTTATTTTGTATCCTGCTACTTTACTGAATTTATCTATCAGTTCTAGTAGTTTTTTTGTGGAATATTTAGGGTTTTCTATATATAGTATCATCTGCAAATAATGACTGTTCTACTTCCTTACCAATTTGAATGCCTTTTGTTTCTTTTTTTATTTAAAGACTAGAAGTATTTACTTTTTAATTTTTTATTGTTATTCTGTTACAGTTATCCCAATTTTTAAATTTCTTCTTTATTTATGTCTGATTGCTGTGGCTAGGACTTCCAGCACTATGTTGAATAGGAGTGGTGAAAGCAGGCATCCTTTTCTTATTCCTCATCCTAAAGGAAACATTTGTAGTTTTTGCCCATAGAGGATGATGTTGGCTGTGTGTTTGTCACATAGCAGCCGCAGTTTCTTTCATCGCTGCCATTGTAGCATGAAAGCAACCATATATAATATGTAAATGATCCAATAAAACTTTACTTACGGACAATAAAATTTAAGTTCCTATAACTTTCATCTGTCCAAAATTATTATTCTTTTAATTTTTTTCCACCAACTATTTAAAAATGTAAAAAGTTTTTACCTCATGGGCCATAGTTTGGTGACCCCCTCTATTTATAATTACCTCTCTATTTAAGCATCATGTCATATGCAAGATTAAAATAGATAGTAAAGGAAAGTGGTGCTAGAGGAGAAAAAATTTGGGCTTTGTAAAGAGAAATGAATTTTAAATTGTACCATGAAGTATTTAAGGAGAATTCAAGATTTTGTTGCCTATTTCACCTGTTGGTAAACACTCCATTTAAAAAATTAATTCCTGCATTATTTGCACCCAAATCTACTATTACCCCTTACAGTTAGTACTTCAAATTTAATATATAAATCTCAACAGAATAGATTCTCACATAGAATTTCTAAAGGAAATACATTTATTGGATAATGTCAGGTATCTAATATCTTGCCACACTTTGAGCTCCTTTATCAATGTAACTGAAAAACATTTTAAAAAATTTTTCTGCCAGTCAGACCTTTTAAGTATGAAATCCTGGTCATCGTTATTCAATTAGTTTATATTTTGATACCAATTGCCCTTTCAGAATTATTTTTTTAAGATCTTTTAGAAAGATTTTACTTATTTTTTAGAGAGGGGAAGGGAAAGAGAAAGAGGGGGAGAGAAACATCAGTGTGTGGTTGCCTCTCGCACCCCTTTCCGGGTCCCCGGCCTACAACCCAGCATGCGCCCTAGGCCAGAAATTGAAGCAGCAACCCCCTGATCTGCAGGCCAGCAGCCAACCACTGAGCCACACCAGCCAGGGCCAGAATTCGTTTTTATGAATTTTCATACCCCCCAATAATGAAAGTGACTGAAGTGCAGTGATTTTGAAATTCCTTAAAATACTTTCTCCAATGTAGATCATATACCTAAATCTTTAGGTACTCCAAAGCTTCATTTCCTTATTGGGATAAAAATTCGTACAGTATTAGATGTGATGTTTTAAGTCACAGTATCCAGTGTGTTTCCTGATTTTTCTGACTAATAAATTAGATAAAATAAACCATGATTGTTTGTGCTCTGGAAAAATTAGGAACTCCTCTGTAACAGATTTTATAGTTATTTCATTGGGAGAGAAGAGATGAAATGAGTGGTTAAGTTAAAATTTGAGTTTATCCTAAATTAGACTCTAAAACACAATGAAAGTATTATACAGTACATTCATGTTATCATTTTCTTCATATTGTCAGAGGCTTAGAGAATGTTAAAGCTGATTTAATATTTAGTGCCTTTTCACTTTACAGCTGAGGAAACAAATACTTTTCTAGCATTTTTTGGCTATATAACCATGAACTAGCTACCTGGGTTTGGATCTGTGATTTAACCATGTTATTTCATTCCTTTCTTATAAGTGCTTTATACACATAAGATCTTTTCAGGGCTTTGTTCATTTAAAAATGTCTATGTAGTTGTCTCTTTAATATCATTGAAGTTATTTTAGTCTTAGATGGAAAAATTCTGTAATCTATGCATATTTATAGGTATTAGTAGCCTTTTACTGGCTCAAACATCTCACTTTATCTATGGATATCATTTTGGTGACCTGCTTTTCAGCGGTGACCTTTTTTTTTTTTTTTTTCAGTTATTAATTTCCTAAGCAATTGGAGTGGTTAATATTATCTTCCTTTTAGGTAAATGACACAATTTACAGTTCTTTCTTTCTTGGGATATGTAGATAACTTCAATAAATGCTAAATAACATATAATCTTTCCATTGTTCTGGAGCTATTTTAAGTCATAAAATTTAACTGAGTTCTTATTTTTATTTATAGCTATGAAACCTTTCATATTTTTGTATTTTAGCAATACAGATTTTTTCCAGTGAAACTAAGGACTTAAAGTGATCATGGTACTATTATTCATTTATTTGGCTATGATTCAAAGTGAAAACAGTAACTTCATTTTATGTATGTGGAAATATAATTTTAGCAGTCTTCATTTAGAAGTAATTGTGTAATGTGAGCAGAAGAAATAGTCTTTTCCCCGATCCTGTCTGTAATAATGTAAATGATATGTCTAAACATATATTTTACTTTGTTTCCACTGTATATGAGACTTAACTGACCTGAAAATATTTTTTATTAACTCTCATTTTTTAAAAAATATTTTAGTTATTTTTAGAAAGTGGAGAAGGGAAGCAGAAAGAGAGGGAGAAAAACATTGATGTGAGAGAGAAACATCAATTGGTTGCCTCTTTCACCCACCCTGACAGGGACTGGGCCCACTGGCCAGGAATTGAACCAGCGACCTTTTACTTTTCAGAATGATGCCCAACCTATGGAGCCATACCAGACAGGGCTTAACTCCCACTTTTAAGTGGCCCTGCCTGTCCCCAAACATCCACACCTTAACTCTCCCCCGCCACACACACACAAATTCCAAAACAAAACAAAAGAATCATAATTGTGCAGGGAGCTCTGCTCTCAAAGCACTGATGGAATTCAGTGCAGGAGACTGTGACATCAAATAGTTGACCTGAGATCTCCGAGGAGAGACACTGCTTCGTTTGGTGGCTTTTTTTGTGACCCTCAAATCCAGAACAAATATCTCTGCCTGGAATGTGATGTAGAATGAGCTTTGCTGTCCTTTGTTGTGTCATTCTTGTTTCCTCCAAATTCAACAATGGCTGCAAATTTTTCACTCTATTCTGCTAGGATTTGGTTGGGCATTTTTATTTCATTAAACTGGCTGAATGAAAAAAAAAAAAAGTTTCTGCTAAGCTTTGAAGAGCCAGATGTTTTATTCAGATTTCTGACTGTAGTGCCTTTAAAGACTTTGCAAGTTGCATTTCACCTACGTGACTATTTGAACGAATGACAACAATTACCACTCAGTATTTCATTGAATCAGTAACTTGTTTTAAAACCTATCATGATTTGTTTGACTGGCTTGTGGCAAATGAACTACTTTGCTAGATAGTTTGTAAATGAAGTTGACCAAACCCCTTTGGTCTTTGACTGGGAGATGTTAAAATCTCTCTCGGATGTAACATCTGTTGTTAGGTTGAGAGTCTGTTTCTCCTTAGAAGGAACACTGGAGAATTCATTGTACTAATGCTTGTTGTGCTGTCTTCTCTTTCTGTGGTTAATAGTAATCATATCTTTTCCTTCCCCTTTTCTGCTGCCCCTTTCCTTTCCTTCCCCATCTTCCCATGTACTTTTTGAATTTATTAAACTGGCGTATATATTTTTCCTTGCTTTTTATTTATTTATTTTTTTAATTTTGGTCTCCTGTCCCACTCTGTCTTCCCTACTTGGCTTGGGTTCCATATTGCTAGCTTTTATGTTCGCATGCTCATTATCACCCTTTTTTGTACTTCAAATCCCAGCAGCTGCCCAGCCAGGTCCCCGAGCACAGCCCTGTGGTTTATGGGACTGTGGAGAGCGCTCATCTTGCTGCCAGCACCCCTGTCACTGCAGCTAGCGACCAGAAGCAAGGTTTGTGTATGACTGTTTTCCCCCCTCTTTAGTCCCTTATTATATTAATGTGCTGCTCTTAGCATTTAACAGTAAGCATAAAACATTTGAGGATTATTTAGATACCCACTTTTAAAGAAAGCTTTGAATTGGAAAATCAAAGTGTTCAACATCTAGGAGAGTAAAGTAGGGATGATTAGTAAAATTATTCTCTACATTTTATTAATGCCTCGTTGTCAATACATGTTTGTAGATAACATCTTAGCTGCCTTAAACTTTTTCTGAAACAAGTTTGGGGGAATAAATCAAAGTATATATTACTTTACAAGAATAACACAATTTAATTTATGTATTCAATATGTTCCTGTGTATCCTGCTATTTTAAAAACATAAAATGTTTCTTATAAATTTGGCTTCTAAGGCTTCAGTTGGAGTTAGTACTAAGTTCAAATCCTGATCCCATCATGCACTCACTAGTTGGTCTTGGTGAGTCATTACACTGTGGATTTTAATTACTTCGCCTGGAGAATGAATTAAGAAGACCTACCTCTCAGGGTTGTTGCAGGGATAAGCCTAGTTGGATCTCCTGCCTAGCTGGATTTAGGTTGACCTTAGCTAAAATTAGGAAGCAATTCTCCTTAGGTGCTGGGGAAGCAAGTGACTTTGAACATGCTATTCTAATGTTTCTGATCATTCTAAGAATGAATGGAAATTATATTTGCTTTTCAGTTTTTTCTTTAAACCCTTTAATAATCTATAGCTGGCTGTTAGTAAATATACTTTCTAAAAATTATTCTTTAAAAAGCATTTGGGAATTGGTACATAATCAAAGTGGAATTATTTAATATTATTGTTTTTTCTACTGGACTGCAAGTTAATGACACATAAACCTCTAGTGTGCCAAATGATGTATTGTAGAACTGTATACCTGAAACCTATATAATTTTATTAACCAGTGTTACCCCAGTAAGTTCAGTTAGAAAGAAACTTCTGATGTATAATTTCAGTGTTGTTTATAGGATACAAATACAATATGATTGGGTTTTTTTTCCCTTGAGTATTGATGAGTCTAGTAAACTTGAACAGAGATAAGTCCTATATTGTATTTGTTTTACAAGATAGTTTTAGTCCAAAAGATAGATAATAAATTCTGACTTGGCATGCTTCTGAAGGTTGCATTGTCAAATACTTCTTTCAGCACTATTCAGAGTTAGAGACTCCTGCATGCTTAAAGCTACATTTTTAAATATTAAAGTTATTCACCTTGCAGGAGTGCAGTTCATAGGTATTGTGGAAAGCCACTTGCTATCCCCAGTGATCAAGCAGCTTTGGATAAAAAATCAGAATGCTTTCAGTCTGAATGGGGAATAATTTTTAAGTTATTCCCTTCAAAACTTCATTACTTTTGCAGAGTTACAGTTCTTTAACTATTTAGAATTATGTTAAGCATACTGAATACTTAACCATGCAAAAAGCCCTTAAAATACTGGGTTGGCCAGAAAGTCTATGTGGTTTTTTTCCATAAAAGAAAAAGCACTTTTTAAAAAAATTTTATCAATAACTTTCCGGTTTTTTATATTTTGAGTACGTTGGGTATCCCTCACATGGTCTAACTTTAATTGTTCTCAATTAATGTCTCAGTTTGATCGCTATCAACTTCAACTGGTCTATCCGACAGTGGAGCGTCATCCAGTGAGAAATGTCCAGCACTCAACTCCACAAACCACTTTTGACACGTTCGATCAGTCACAGCACCTTCTCTACACACTGCACAAATCCTTTTTTGTGTTTCATTTGCATTTTTACCTTTCTTGAAATAATAAAGTTTAATATGCCAAAAATGTTGAGTTTTTTCTCCCATCTTCAATATTAAAATGACTACCCAGAAATTCACCAATTTTGATAAGTTTTCTAAAAAATGCATGCTGATATGACAGCTGTCACAATACAATCTAACAAAATTGTTTCAAATGAAATCAAAGATGACTAAGCGCTACTAGAGCCCTCTTTCCGGAAAACAAACAAACAAACAAACAAACAAATGAACTTTTGGCCAACCCAATATATCCTCTATGCAGACTGTCCCTATAACTGGGCCATCATAAAGAATTCATAGTGTTCCTTGATGATGATAGCTCTGACCAGCTAAGATTTTTAGGTTATTAGACAGACACCTGCATTTTGTCCCACATAGGCCTTGATTTCCAGAGGGAAGAATGCAGAATTTTTTGTTTCCTCTAGTTTTGCAGGCTTAGTGGAAATTTGAATAATAAAGTCAACGTTTAAAATTGATGTATGATATAGATGTGGGTGAATTAGAAAGTACGTCAGGTTATCTTGATGAAAAGAAAAAACTTTCCTCTTAAGTAAATTTCATAGAGCTGATAAGTAATTGTTTGGGATTGCTGCTGTCTTTCTCTTTATACCAACTGTCTTTCAGAAAACTCAGTAGTAATTACAAGTTTCTGTTTAAAATTCTACCAACAACTTGCTAATACATAGAATAGTTTTCAGAGAAATATTAAAAAAAAACAACTAAATGTATGTAATTCAAATAACATTAGAAAGAGCTTACCATTTTTCAGAAAATAAATTTTAAGAAATTAAAAATTTTGACATGTAGATTCCTTTCGAAATTAAAGTAGGAAACAAAATATAGTATTTTCAAAGAGTACTATTGTACTATACCATCAAGTTGATTTTTCTGCCCAATAGACATGTCATTTCTGAGGATTTTGCACTGGGTAACAGAATCCCATGTTAGTGCCAAAGTCCCCCACCAACTTGACTCACCTGAATAAAATTTTCATAAGCCTTTTGTTTTTTAAATTGAAAGAATGTGGAATTTGAAATCATTTACAAGTTCCAGCACTTGCTGACTATATGACCGTGGACCTGTGATTTAATTTCTAAACCCTAGTGTGTTCATTTTCCCCTCCTATAAAATAGGAACATAATAGTTTTTACCCCAGTGGCAGTTAAAAGAATTCAAGGACACTATGTATGTATTATATTGAACCCAGTTCCTGGCACATAGTAAGTGCTTATGTAATAAATGTTAACTGCCATTATTAAGCTTCTGATTTTCTAGAGTTTTTGACATCAACAGCCAGAGTGGTTACATGAAGACCTAAAGAGGCAGGGAAAGACCACAGCTTGGTTTGTAGAGAAAGACTGTTAAGTGGATTAAAATATTCAGCTGGTGTTGATTGTATAAAGACATTTGAAGTGATTGTTGTTTGCTGTTTGGGAAAGAGCATTCTCCCTAGTGTGTTCAGGGTATGGTATGGATAATTAAATACAACCAAAAGTTTTTGTGCCATAGCCTTAGTGTCTTTTGAAAGCAGTTGGTGTAGGCTAGGCATTCAGGGAATTGTATTCTGTTGCAGTTCAGTCATTTATAGCAGTGTAGCTCAATTGGGACTCTTCTGGCATTTTTAGGACAGGACTCTATTCTCAGATTGCAAGATGCTCACTATTCCTGGTCTCTGCTCATTAGATGACAGTAGCACTGTCTCAGTCGTATGAGACTCATGACAACCAAAAGGTATCCATCTAGGCAGTTTGTCCCCTCACCGTATGAGAATACAGTAGTCGTTTTTTCCTTCTTTCCTAGATGACATTCATTATATTAATTACAGAGAATGAGAAAGAAAAAAATATCTAATTCTCCAGATCCATTGTTAAACTGTCCTAGACTTTCCCATATGCATATATGTTAGTATTATATATTTTTAAGTTACTAAATTAGGCTTATGCTGTACATACAGTTTTGTGCTCTGCTTTTTAAAGCTTTTTAAAGCAGTATCTTTTATTATAAACAACTTTCCATATCATTAAATACACTTTTAAAAGCCTATTTTAAATAATTGCATAATACACTGTGATATGCCCAGACCATTAGTTCTTTAATAAATCCCTTATTGTTATACGTTTAGTCTATTTTCCTTTTTTTTTGCTATTATAATGTTGCCTTAAATATTTCAGACCTCTGTCTTTTTTCACTCTTGCATAATTATTTCCCTAGGAAAAAAATTTTTAAATGGGATTTTCACAAGTTCATAAAAATAGCCAAATGTTATAAACATTTTTAATGCAGTGTATTAGATTTCAAATTATCTTGGCTCTGCAAAGTATAATCTTAATAATAAAATCAATGTTCCTTATTTAGATCTACTATATTATACTTTTCAGCTTTCTATATTAAAGCTTTAATGAATGAATTAAAGAGCCTTCAATTCATTTCAGAATGAGGAGCTCTCAAAGTAACTTGCTGTTGCTAATTTTTAAAAGTTAATGTCAGATTTTTCTCAGGAGTATATGGAAGTTTCAGTCCAAGGTCTCCTTTTGTTTAAGTACTTTTAGTATTAGAAATTTTATTCCCTAAATTAATAATTGATATACTCTTTTTAAAAGATTTTATTTATTTTTTAGACAGAGGGGAAGGGAGGGAGAGAGGAAGAGAAACATCAGTGTGGTTGCCACTCAAGCACCCCCAAATGGGGACCTGGCCTGCAACCCAGGCATGTGTCCTACACTGGGAATCGAACCAGCGATCCTTTGGTTCCCAGGCCAGCACTCAGTCCACTGAGCCACACCAGCCAGGGCAACATACTCTTTATTATATTGTTAATGTGAGAATTATTATTTTTCACTGTTTAGTGTACTGTAGCTAGGTATAAAGATGTGCTTTCACAAGGGTATCATGTCGTATGGGGGACTACCCATGTAGCAGTCACTCCGGTGACTTGGAAATTATTTTCATCAGATATTTTAATAAACATGTATTTATTATATACATGGCACATATATATGGTGCAGATAAAGATACATTTTTTGAAATCTTTTTGTTTCTTTCTCTGACACTCAGTCTGAGGGATTTGGCAATGAGAGCCATTTTTTCTCTTTTTTCTCCACTACAATAAATGGGCAGAGTTCAACTTAAGAAGCATTGGTCTTTATGCCCATAAATAAAAGTGAATTTTAAGTCAAGTAGGAGTAGCTGCAGTAAAAGGAGCCTTGAACAGCTCTTTGGTAGTATTTACTGTCTGTTTATCTGATTAACAGCATGTTTTCTTTGACAGACTTAGTTCACTACAGTTTATTATAGAGACTCATTTTCATTGATTCCTAAGGATTTCTGACAGAGAAATTGAAAAGTCCTTTCCATTTTAGATGGTTGTTTTAGTAGTGCTTAAAATTTTTTTTGCATTTGATGAACATAGTCATGAATATCTGATTTCATACTGGAGCCTGTTCTTTGTGCCAAGGAAGCACAGGGCTAGAAAAAAATCTAAATCTTTGGTTTAATCCCCATGAGGATGAATTGCATTATCAGTTTACCAAGAATTTTAAAATCTGGAAGATTTCGTGCATTAGAGTTTCTTACATTTTTCTGGTACCTTTATTATAATTATCAACTTATTTCTCTCTTGCCCTTCTTTATCTATACAGACACACATTCTATATATTATTCTCAAATGTTTCAAACATATATGTTGTGTTCTTTTTTATTGGACTTGATTGTCTGAATATTAAGTTTGTTTTCTCCTTAAATAATTTTTTTACAATGAAGACCTAAGATAAATTTCCAATTTTACACTTTCAACATTATTTCTGGTTATATGCCTCTTTTGAAAAGTGAAAGTTAATTTCTAAGTGAATTTTTATGTTCAGGAACTTGCTTTCACTAATAGATATAAATTCCATTGATAATAAATGAACAAGTAATACACGTTTTTTATAAAAATTCTCCAGTGTACAAATATATAAAGTAAAAATACCAGTCTGTAATAATTTAATCTCTACTTCCCCTGGAACTGGCCTGCTGCTATAGTATATTCTCGATAGGAAGAACTTCTGTAGGGATCAAGAGATAGTGGAGATGGAAGGTATCTCTACCTTAAAGAAAAGCCCCACTCCCATTTCAAGAATGGTTTGGCCTCAGTTTTGATGAGATTTTCCACGGTATTTTTGACATAATCATTTGGTGAACTGATTCTGTCCTTTTCCCCAAAATAAAGCTTATATGTACTGAAGACCATGTAATAGTGGGTGTAACTAGGTAAAATATGGCAATGTTTTGAAGTGGCAGATTATGTCTAATATTTTGGTCTGTCTTCTGCTACCCATGATTTTTAGGGTAAGAGATGAAAGGAATTGACCCCGTATGATACAATATAATCTCTGATCGAGGAATTATTCTTAAAACTCTTTTTCTTTTTCTTTCCCAGAAGAGAAGCCAAAACCGGATCCAGTATTAAAGCCTCCCTCCCCAGTGCTTAGGCTAGTCCTTAGCGGAGAGAAGAAAGAACAAGTGGGCCCGATGTCTGAGACTACTGCAGTGGAGTCCATCCCAGAGCTTCCTCTGCCTCCGTCACCAACTGCTGTTTCTCCAGTTGCTCGAAGTACGATCGCTTCCCCCACCTCTGCTGCTCTCAGTGGCCAGCCGATATTCACCACTGCTCTAGGTGACAGGTGTGAACTCTCCTCCTCAAAAGAAGACACAGTTCCTATACCTAGCCCCACATCTTGCACAGAAACATCAGATCCTTCACAAACAGATGTAATTGATGATGATATATGCAAGAAATCTTGTAGTGTAGCACCTAATGATATTCCACTGATTTCTAGTACAAACCTGATTAATGAAATGAATGGAGTTAGTGAAAAATTACCAGCCACGGAGAGCATTGTGGAATTAGTAAAACAGGAGGTGTTGCCATTGACTCTTGAATTGGAGATTCTGGAAAATCCCCCGGAAGACATGAAAGTGGAGTGTGTTTCAGCACCCATCACCCCTTCCACAGTTCCTTTCTTTCCTCCATCTCCTCCAACTCCTCCAGCCTCTCCTCCCACACCAGTCATTGTTCCTGCTGCTGCCACTGATGTTAGCGCTGCTAGTGCTCCCACTGCAGTCCAGAGAATCTTAGAAGAGGATGAGAGCATAAGAACTTGCCTTAGTGAAGACGCAAAAGAGATTCAGAACAAAATAGAGGTAGAAGCAGATGGGCAAACAGAAGAGATTGTGGAGTCTCAGAACTTAAGTTCAAGAAAAAGCCCTGTCCCAGGTAAGCTGTTCTGCCATTAATTATACGCTTGCTGAATGTCAAAAAGAAGCAGCACTTGAGTTATTTTTTAATTGGCTACTTTCCTTGACTTCCAGAAACATCAAATGAATGCTGAAATTCCTAGTCTTTCTTCAGTGGTGTATTTATGTTTTAGTGCAGCCTGCAAAAGAGTTGCTCCATTGTCTAAAAATGCAAATGAAATTTCAAATATACAAAATACCTCCAAGGTATATGTCACTCACTGTACATGTGTGTATTTTTGGTTTTTTTTGCTTCGTTCATATGAATCAGTTTCTTGGTGGTTAACTGCGTTGCTTTGGGGCTGGAGACCAATTGAAATTAGTATGGCCTGTATTCCCTAATTATGTCTTCCCAGAAGAATTTTAAAACCCAACCCATCATAACCTTAAAGAAACTACTCTATGTAAGACCTCTTTAATTCTGGATTTGGAAAATAGCAACTGGAACATCAAAGGTTTATGACTAGTTCTGAATGCTAAAGTGCCCTCTTTGATTGACTTACAGATACATTTATTACTCTTCAACTTGTTATTTTAAAGGTTTTATTTTCTCCTGTATTATCATTACTATGAAAATATTCTTCCCAATTCAAAATTATTTCTTTTTAGTGTACCATCACCTAGGATCTTAGGAAATAATCATTGGGTTTTTATAATGTTTTAAAAAGATTTTATTTATTTATTTTTAGAAAGAGGGGAAAGGAGGGACAAAGAGAAGGAGAGAAACATCAGTGTTTGGTTGCCTCTCATGTGGCCCCCACTGGGACCTGGCCCTCAACCCAAGCAGGCTCATGCTCTGACTGGGAATCGAACTGGCCACCCTTTGGTTCATAACCCGCACTCAATTCACTGAGCTATACCAGCCAGGGCATGTTTTTATAATTTTAATTAAAAAAGTTATCTGAGACTTTTCTACTCTCAAGTTAGTAGCACATAAGAATATGGCTTTTCACAAGTCAGGGTAGCCTGTTTACTGCAACAGTGGCCTGTGCTGTGCAATTTGCTCTCGGTTAAGTTACACAGTTCGACAGATGAGTTGATCTAGATAAGCACTGGCGAGATGTCAGTCACCAGCATCCTCAGTATTTATTGTCTGTTTTGAGCTTTCTGATAGGGAGGCTTGACAAGTCAAAAACCTGATCCCTATTTTAAGATGTGGCTTTACCACCCCGTTCAGTTTCTGAGGCCATTTCTTCATGCATGTCTCTGGAAGGTTCTGGTACCTTGGAAAGTAGAACATCTAGTCCAACACAGTAAACCAGAGTGGAAAAGCAAACAATGCAAGGCAGTTAGGACAGGGAAAAATTAATTATAAATGTTTGTGAACCACGTGCTTCAGCAGACTGGCCTCCGTTGGCATCACTGTTCATAGTGCCACCACTATTTTGGGAACCTTCTTCCTTGGTAGGGTAATAATTTGCGGGTTTTTTGTCACTCCCTCTTTAAAAAAACAGTGTTGGTTTTGGCATGGCTACAGATGAATGTCCCCCAAAGAACACTTGTTGGTTGGAGAACAGCGATTTGTTTGGCCCGTCATTGTTTTCATACACCCATCTGTGAGTTGTCATTCAACAACTGGTGATGTGGTAGTTCCAAAGCAGGAAGAGCTGGTGAAGACACATTTTAAATAAACAGAAAAACAAAGCAGTCCTGTGGGATACAAACCATACTTCAGAACCAAAATAAGTGTAAAGCAAACCTGTACCAGGGTCATACTTCCACTCATTCCAGACAGCCACTCTTTTAAGCGGTTTGTCAGTTACATGGCCTGATAGTGATTGCAAGGCAGTGCTTAGAGATAAATGGACAGATTTTTTTTTTATTTTAATTTTTCAGAGAGAGAGAGAGAGAGAGAGAGAGGGAAACATTGATGCGTGAGAGAAAATCCACTGCTTCCTCTCACAAGCCCCCAGCCAGGGACCTAGTCCACAGCCCAGACGTGTGCCCTGACTGGGAATTGAACTGGCGACCTTTCAGTTTGCAGTCCAGTGCTCAAACCAGTGAGCCACACCATTCAGGGCAGATTTGGGGGTCAGTTATTCTTCATACTATTGTACATTTTTTTGAAATGGAAATACTGTTAGAATTAGTAATGTAAGTCACCAGCACCTTAGTGAGAGAATATATAGATTCTTCATTTTTAATCAGAGGATAGCTAGAAAAGAAAAAACTGTTCTTTTCTTGATTAGGAAAATAAGGTGGAGGTTGGTGATGTCAGAAAGTAAACTGTCTTGGCATTTTTCTTTTTTTTATGATTTTTTTTTCAGTATAAATGTGTTTTAAAGGAACTGGAAATTCTGTAATTTTCAAAACCCAAAGTTTGAACCTCAAGAACCCATACAACTCTAGCAATTTTTAAAATTAAAAAGCTGCCAGGAACATTCCTGACCTCATTTCTGTACAAATATTTTTAATGTTATTGCAACAAAAGTTAATGAAATCGTCATTCTTCTAGATATAGCCACCTGAAATTGTCATATTCTTTATGACTGCAATCTTATTTGCACTTACTCATTTACTGTACCTTATTTACTTTGAGAGGTTATTAAATCATCATAATTCGGTTTACATATCAGTCTTTTGTTAATGACTTTGAGAGTAGTTCTTACTATGTCACCTGCAGACGAAATGCTTTAAAGCTGGCTTCAGGAACCATTTGCTTTTCACAGGCATGATACATAAAATACACAGTAGTTGGTGCAGAGATACTTGTTTAAAGCAGTAAAGTTAGACATTAGGTGTGTGGTCCCTCCTCTTCTTTTGGAAAACACTTCCTTGCAATTATTCTCAATTCTATTTCTACTGGAGCAAAATGCAGCAGTTCTGGATGCTTAGATGTTGAAAACCAACCCTGCACACTGAGTTTTGTGTGTTATCTTAAATGTAATCTGAAAAGCTTCAGAAATGGGCCAGACTTTTGATTACTTGATTCATATGATCACTGCAGTAATTAAATGTACAAAAGTCTGTATTAGTTGGGTGATTTCTTAAAGTATTATGACCTCTGTGTATATTTGGTAGGGAAGGAAAGAGAGCTTCAGCACTTCTGTGAAGCCAGTCCCCCCTCATCGTGGAGAAACTGATTTTGTGCAGTTTTCTGGGTGCATATGCTATATAATGAGAGCTTTTCCACTTTTTAAAATTGCAGTTTTTATTTTTCTTTTATTTTTTATTATCTGTTGAATATAAAGCTATTATTTGAAATTCTTTTGCAGAGAGAGGTTTCTGATCTTTCTATTTTACCTTCTGGCTTTTGCCAATAGTGTGTTGTTTCATTGTCTATTTTATGAATTTGTTTTATGAACTCACCTTTAGCTAAATTTTTCTGAATGTAGATTTGAGGGCAAGTCCTCTCGAAGCAGGTTTGTGTTTACTTTGTTTACCATGTGTCTCGGAACTTAATTGAGTTAATGTCCCAAATCTTTTATTCCCGAAACAGAGTGGGAAGACATTCCCTTGGACACTGTTTTTCAGGGTGACAGCAGTCCCGCCCCACCTGGCTGACACCAAACATCTTCCCTTTTCATTCCTCTCTTGATTCACTAGTTTTTGTTCTGTTTTATTGTTTCAGCTACCTTTTTCACTGAGACTTGCTGTGTTAGGAGTCTCAGAGCTTTCATTGAGAATCCCAATTCCAAGACTTCACCTTGTAGAGATTCAAGATCTCCTGTCTGCCACATGGCTGTTAAAATGTAAACTCCTTGGTAATAGGGACTGACACAGTGTCCCACATCCCCAGTACTGCATGTAGCGGCTGTACCAGTGGTAGCAATGGATCTTGTTTATGTGGCTTCCAGGAATTTCCCTTATAGTCTCAGTAAGCGTAGCTAAGTTTGAGGGATGGTTTGCAGATTTTAAAGGTTGCAAGATTAGAGATTTGGTTTTCAGGTAGAGATAGGATTGTATGTTGTGAACAACACGAATAAAATTATGACCCATACAGCCAATCAAACTGAAGTTCTCTCTTTTGGGTTCATTTTACTTTAGTCTAAAAGGAGCATACTTTAATTCAGGAAAAAATATTTTAATAATAACCCTTGATTTACTCTCACCAGTCAGAATATTGAAAGTACTTGAAAAGGAATGAAACGTGAGCATGAAACCAAAAAAATGAAAGTCTTTCATTTAGGGTAGACTACCCTGAAAAAGACTCATTTTTAAAACCATGACCTGAAGGTCAGCAGCAGGAACAGGGAATTTGACATTTACTTTTGACTTTACTCAACTTACACCTTCTGAGAAATATTTGAAATATCCCTGGAAGAATAAGTTGCTGGAGCCAAAAATAGATCACCTGTGGTTTCAGTGTCCCACAAGCATAACCCCTTCTCTAGTGTGCACCCTTGTCACTTAAGTTCTCATATCATCTAGAGAAATATGTTATGGAACCTTGGGAACAGGACTGCCACAATATTCCTGGCTCCACATCATCTATCGAAGCCAGCAGAACAGTCCTTAACGCGAGGACTCTTCTGTCCCCTGTTTCAGAGGCTTGACTCTGAGTGATCCGTAGGGATAAGTAAGTTAAAATTATTGGGTTTTTCCACCTTATATGTAAAGTATTTTCAACAAAGCTGCCTTAAAAGTACATTTCTGCTATTTCATTTCTATTTTCTTGTTGCGTCCCACAGTGCAACATTAAGCATTCTCTGGAGAATACTGGTGCTGGGTCAAATTCTGTCTTTCATGTGCTGCAAAACGAGCCTTGATACCTGTTGGGTGAGCTTACTACCAGGCTCAGGTGCCAAACCTTCTGGCAAGGACCTTGCATTTTCTTCTTGCTTCTTTGTATGGTATACACTTACCACTATTTACAATAGTTCATTTCTTTGCAACATGAGCCCCAAAGCTTCATTCATTGGATATTAATTAACTTAGCCATGCATACCTCCATGAATAGACATAGATTCTTTGTTCAGAATTTTGCCCTCTTTTCCCCAGACTTAGTAATTAATCTGCCTCCAAAAGAAACCATTGTGC